TTCAGTATGGACACATCAAACAGTCTGAAGTGAGAAAATGAAAAAGTTGTGTTCACCATGTTTATATCATTTTACATATTATTCAGTGGATAAAAGGGACAGGTGCACACCATTTTGGAGAGTCGATTTTAGTCTTGAATGTATGATAGAAATATACTATAGATGTACGAAAATTACATAATTCCTTCAAAAATATCTCCAAATTTCTTTTCCAATATATGTCTTTTCTTTTATGAAAGTGTCTCAAGAAAAGACGACTCATTATTTTAACTTTCAAATGCGTATAATTCTGGAAACACTGATTGGCTTAGCTAAAAATATTCCCGTCCTGAGAACAAGGTAGGATCGGTCAAAAAAAATGGCGCACCTGTCCCTTTAATAGAGGAATTTGCCCGGACAGCAGCCACTACAGTAGAACTATAAAACTTAACAAACTTACACAGTTCTGCTTAATTCTACTATGTTTCATTTTTTATGCCAAGAAACTTATTAGGGGTTGAGGTAATATTATGAGGTAATAATTGTATTATTATGGTCAATCTCAATAGTATGAAAAAGGCTGCTTTGATTGGTTAAGGGAGCCGCGGTGGCTCAGTGAGTTAGACGCTTGCTCGGGTTCAATCCTGGCATAGGTCGAGACAATACCTTCGGATTTTTCAACCCGGTTTCCCCCTGTCAGTGATGCAGGTACGAGGGGAAAAAGCGTCTAGTCGTTCGGATGGGACAATAGACCGAGGCCGTATGTGCTACAGGCTGTGCACGTTAAAGATCCCTCGACAGTCGGAAATCGAAAAAAGAGCGGGCTAATGCCGCTGTCCTGGCAAAATGTCCCTCAATGTATCCTGCATGGTGTTGCCCGTCTTCATTAGCCCACATGGTGCAGAAAAGTAGGACGTAAAACTACATTCATTTCATTTTCATTTCATTTTGATTGGTTAAAATTCACTGTCTCATATGAATCTATTTGGAAAAAATAAAGTACTCTCTCATCTGTTTATTGGGTGTGGTTTAAAGGACAAACAGCAGGTGTGAAATAAAACAAGAAAGTAAAACTTCAGTTGCCTTTCAATTTACATTATACTGTTAAACTTGATTATAATTTAAAAATGTCAACATGTGTTTTGGTGTAAATTTCAGTAAAATGTAAAAGAGTACACATGGCATGTGGATCTTGTTATTACACCACTACTAACAAAATAGTCTAAACATTTTTCATAAACTTGCACCTTTCACTTTTAATTTAACCAACCTGTTCAGAATTACAAAATGTGGGAAATTTTAACAGACAATTGTTAAGGGGAAAAACTTTCTGTTTTTATAGCAAAGTGTCTACTAGAGGTTTTATAAAGTATGATTAATTTGTACCAATTCAAATTTTCTACACAGCCTGTTTTCTCTAGGGCTGGTGTGGAATGAGATATTAAAAAAGAACATTAAAGGGACAGTGCACCATTTTTTTTTACCAATCGTACTTTAATCTCAGAAAGGAGAATGTTTTTAGCTAAGCTAATCAATAATTAGTGTTCACAGCATCACCGTCGAAATTTGAGCTTTCAAATCTATGACTGTCCAGAACTATCTGCGTTTGAAAGTTAAAATACTGTGTGATATATAGAAAAGATGTATATACAAATAGTGAGTAAAATTTTGAAGTATTTTGAAGGAATTTTGAGATTTTCTTACATTTCTACTACTTATGAAGACTATTTACATCTATTCAACACTCAAATCAACTCTCCAAAATTCTGCATCTACCCCTTTAATAAACTTAACCTTGAATTGTAATTATTTCCTTGTTATTTATTTACTGTCATGAAAAGTTGTAACTGTGTATGTATATTGGTTATTTATCCCTTTGAACCCTGGATTTAAATAAAATAAAATGTCATATACCCAGGCCACGTATTCTCGAAACGATCTCAGCGCTAGGACATCCTAGGTTCTTATCTTCTAACATTGATTCTAGGATATCCTAGGTTCTTATCTTCTAACATTGATTCTAGGATATCCTAGGTTCTTATCTTCTAACATTGATTCTAGGATTTCCTAGGTTCTTATCTTCTAACATTGATTCTAGGATATCCTAGGTTCTTATCTTCTAACATTGATTTTAGGACATCCTAGGTTCTTATCTTCAAACATTGATTTTAGAACATCCTAGGTTCTTATCTTCTAACATTGATTCTAGGACATCCTAGGTTCTTATCTTCTAACATTGATTCTAGGACATCCTAGGTTCTTATCTTCAAACATTGATTTTAGAACATCCTAGGTTCTTATCTTCTAACATTGATTCTAGGACATCCTAGGTTCTTATCTTCTAACATTGATTCTAGGATATCCTAGGTTCTTATCTTCAAACATTGATTCTATGATATCCTAGGTTCTGATCTTCTAACATTGATTTTAGGACATCCTAGGTTCTTATCTTCTAACATTGATTCTAGGATATCCTAGGTTCTTATCTTTTAACATTGATTCTAGGATATCCTAGGTTCTTATCTTCTAACATTGATTCTAGGATTTCCTAGGTTCTTATCTTCTAACATTGATTCTAGGATATACAAGGTTCTTATCTTCTAACATTGATTCAAGGACATCCTAGGTTCTTATCTTCTAACATTGATTCTAGGATATCCTAGGTTCTTATCTTCTAACATTGATTCTAGGACATCCTAGGTTCTTATCTTCAAACATTGATTCTAGGACATCCTAGCTCTAAGATCGTTTCGAGAATACGTGGCCTGAACTCCAAGTAATATAAGTATAAGCTTGTGTGATGTCACTTAGTAACGAAAAATTTACCAGCTGCTTCGGTATATATATTACGTAATTGTGTCACCAGTAAACCGACTGCTAGGGTTGAAAGGGTTAAATATGTTGACTTCACACTTAAAGATGGGTTCCATTATTTTCATTTTTGAAAATGAAAATGCTAATACTTATATGAATACAAAGAAGAGTTGTTCTTAGGAAAAATACCAGTTTGTCTCACATGTCCATAATTAATTCATAATTAGCTATATTAGAAGAGAATTATCAACAGAATTCCAATGGGTGACCGATCAAGAAAGGTCAAAAAGTCTTTTTTGTTTATCCAGATTGTTCATACATGGACATTTATGATTTGTTAAAACTCTTTATTATATGCAACAATAATGATACGATTAAGCATACATGATAATTCATTAGAAACACCCATTCATCAAATAGTTTGCTTAATTTGACACTATTAGATAAAGAAACCCATCTTTAAGCAGATTCCTCTGTTTTATTATTCAGATATACATATAAATATCAATCCACCCACATGAAAATTCATGGTAAATTATATCACTGTATATAGACCTCATTATGTTAGGTTACAATGACCGACCACCACTACCAAATATTTCTGTAAAGATTTATCTGTTAATACCATGGTTGTCTTGAGTTTTAGTGATAACAGTGAGACATGTCTATCAAACATATCATTCAAAAAAAACAAAACCATATTCAAACATGCTGAAATCTGACATTAGCTTATCAAAATTTATTCACAGAAATAAAACAACAAGGAGAAAACTGACATCTGTATATTTTTATCTAATCATTAGTCCAAAAAGATGTAACATATTTTGAATTCTGAATGAAAGCATTGAAAATTGTAAAACTGCCAAAAATATGTATCAAAACTTATTCCAAGAATGTTATCCAAAAGGATAAGGAACCTTGACATTTATTCATACGTTGAACCTTGACCTATCATGCCTCATACATCTATTATTCCAAATCAGTCATTAGAACAAACAAAATTGAAAAACATTGAAAATTAAAATAAAAAACCTGACAAATTATAAAGTGTCATAATATTATTAGAGATAATGTGAACTCTCTGGTGCGAAATTGACAAATCTAGTCAGAAATATAAATTTCAATTTAATTCACTACATCATATATATAAAACACCAGTCAACATGACTTCCAAATTCCACTTCACATATCAACAAGAAATAGAAGGAAATGTGAAGCTTTATCACAAGTTACAAGTTATTGCCCCCCTCATCTTTCCTCCCTCTCCTCTCCTCCCTCCCCTCCCCTCCCCTCCCCTCCCCTCTCCTCTCCTCTCCTCTCCTCTCCTCTCCTCTCCTCCCTTTCCTCCCCTCCCCTCTCCTCTCCTCTCCTCTCCTCTCCTCTCCTCTCC